CTTTGTTGTATTACATGTGAATATTTGGATACATTTAAAGATTACACTTTAATTTAAAAACGATGCTTATAATTTCTGCATTTGTTGAGATCTGCAGAATGTGTACATTAAACATCTACATGTAGCACGGATGCTCAGTTTGTCTTATTAGCAATACAAATGTATTCACGTATCATCGGCTGTCAAACCTAAACCATGGGAAGTAAAATACTCTTTGTTCGTTGGTCAGTTTAGCTTATTAGCCATGCAAATGTATTCAAATGTCACATATTATGGGCTGTAAATCTGAACCATAGGAAGAAAAAGGTGTTAGGGAATTTTCCCATAATCCCCGGAAAAAAAAACAGAAAATAGATGACACTTTGGTAATGTCCATCAACAATGAAATTTTCATCTTCTCCTTGAAAACTAGCAGCTCAATTACTTTTATACTTGGTAAACCTCTGTTAGATTGTTCATTTCATGACAATATCTTCAATTCTCTATTTTTATTGAATAATCTTTGGTAAAAAATGTTATTTCTGACTTCTTATTGAAAACTACCAGCTCAATTGCTATACTTTTTTGTATGTTCCATGAGTTAACTTTTGACAGGTTTGTTTATTTTCGTGTAAATATTTTCAGTTCAGAATACATTGTCCTTGTGTTTGTTCTTTTACAAGTTCTTCTTGAAAACTACCAGCTAAATTATTTTGATACTTGGTAGGGTTTGGAACAAGATGATAAACTTTTTGGATTTCGGTATTCCTATGATGTATCCTTGAAAAAAAAATGTACAATAATAAGGTTATTATGAGGATACCTCAAAGTATGCTCTCAGACAATACGCCGTCGCATTGACCTCCGCTGCACGTCGGTCGATCCTTTCACTGTACTCTGTTCGTGTATACGTTGAGGTATCCTCGTAATAACCTCATATTAACCATAGATGTGGTTAACTGATAAAGGGGGGAACACTGTGCCCACAGTTCACAACAAGCATTAACTTTATTACGAAAGAATCTGCCACTTTAACCACTAGAGGGCATACTCATGGGTCAATTTTACTGTTCAAGTTCGCAACTAAGCTAAGTCTAAGAAATTACTTTTATATGTTATATACTTATTAACTACATGAATTCTGTGCCAAATATGGTATATTTTTTCATTGTTAACAATATTCAGCGAAATAAAACTTTCCACTCAACTTCAAGTTACTGTGTTTTGGTCACTTTACTTTATTTGTTCGGATTTGTTCGTAGGTCAAACATCGCTCGAACGAAATCCCGAATTTTGCAAACCGTATCTTATAAAAGACTGTCAGCTAATCGAAGGTCAAGCAGGTGGGCAAGACGAGATAGTATTTTGTCAGTGGACCTTCAAGTTGGTGTTTTGAACGTTCCACCTGAACCAAACGCATCAAATGCACAGAAAAAAACAACAACAGAAAGACAGCGTATCTGTCAGTTTTGTTTTGATTTTTCTAAAAGTCCGCATATTGTCAAAAAATGGGGCAGTGGAAAGGGTCATATAGCGGGTGTGTGTCACTGATCAACCTGTTGCCAAGTATACAAGTTGTCATGGCCGTCACTGGTTGCACGGTCAAGACTGTTGAGGTGTATTCTAACGTAGCGTGTGTACTCATGCGACAACATAATTATATCCTTTGTTCATTTTTGGATCGAACAATTCACTGTGCGATTAACGCTTTATAGAAAGTCTATCAGGGGAATAAGCCGTATTTAGGCCCACACGATATATGGGCATACATCAGTATGACTTGGCCACGGTTACAATTCTTCTAGTAACTGTCACTGGTGACCGTCAACATCGTCCATTATCAATAGTAATTATGTTGACGGACGGTAAAATAACTTTCAATATGCATTAACCTCAAATTGTGGCCTAGCCGACGCACAACATAATTTACGACTATAGCGCCTCATTAAAATGCCGTTATTGTAAATATCGTGGAGGCTCACCAAATTTATACAACATTAATTACGATGCATTAGTTAAATATTGAAAAACCATAATTTATATATAATTTTTAGTAGTAATCATTATTGGCCGTTATACCGAATGATGCCGTCAATACCGTATATGGGGTGCTTCGACGGGAAAAAACATGTCAATGACTTCAAATGAACTATCTTAATTTGCCAGTACTGAACTTTGCTTTAGCAGACGCCGTTCAAACGTAAGATAGTATATTAGAGATGTGGATTTTAAAATCCATTGGCCACTATCTCCCCAAATTGACACAAAACATGTGAATAAACGATTTCATGCGTATGCATGTTAATTTTGTAAGCACATTCATTATTGTGTCTTTAATCTTAACACTGCTTCAATGTGTTCACAATTGTTTCAGAGATGACAGCGCTAATTTAAATCAAAGTATGTATAATAACAATTAGTATTAGGTCGTGGTACGTTGTTATTTTTTTTCGAAATCGTATTCAACATTGCAGACAATGAATCATTTTGTTTCACTCTGTCGATGGCTGTTTCACAAACAATACATCACAAAATGCATATATAATTTATATTGCTGTGTGCTCTAAGCGTGTTCGATCAACTGGTTGAATCGTAAAACTTGGTGTGATGCCAAGAAATGCTTTAAAAGTGCACATTAGTTTATTCGAGATCCAGTTCAAGTTAGTCATTGTTTTCCACTTATTTCTCTTTCTTTTTATATCAAGGGGTGCTGTCTCAATCATTGTTATCCCATTGTTATTTCGAAATGTCAAAGGCGTGATCATTATTGACGGGGACAATGTCATTTGCATTGACCTGTTAATTATTATTGTATATATATAGTTAAACCAAGAGCAATGTGTCTGCAGTTACACTGCAGTTACTATTTCTGAAAAGTTCAAATTTTTGTCCCATTTTTATATTACACAATGTAATTCAGCTGAAATTTAATTACTGCTAATCACGGTGTCGGTGAGTAGTGGCGAACCACCACGCCAGTAGGTTGACGGTATTTTGAATTCGAATTTCACCTTCAAAAACACCTACTAGACTCCCGCAATCTGATTAAAATCTGATGTAGTGTACGGGCATTAATT